GGCTCGCCCTGGGCGGGACACACGGGGCACCTGGGGGCAGGACGGGAACAGCCGAAACGACTGCTCAGCGGCGCGGCGTGCGCAGACCAGGCAGACAGCGTGTGCGGAGCTGAGCGAGGCGGCCTGTGCTCCCGGCCTGGCAGCCAGGGAGGCTCGGCAGGCGGAGGGCAAGAGGGGGACAGGTCGGCCAGTCACAACCTGGGACTCGAAGGATGGCTGAGCCCTCCCCGGGGGAGGGAGGAAGTGACAGCCTCCGGCAGCCGCAGAACCTGCAGGGACAGGGATGTGCCAGGCTGCCCGGGCAGGCGCTTTGCCTCCCTGTGCCTCAGTTTGCTCATCTGTGAATTGGGCACCCGGGAAGGAACACGACTGTGACGCCCAAGGGCTGAGCTCGAGGCTGGGCTTGTGACGGGCACTCTTCACGCCCCTCCCCACAGCCCACGGGGCCCTGCGTGAGCCCGTGCCCGCTTATCAGACCCCGGCCCCTCCCCCTGCGCTGGCTCACCCAGCGCCAGCCACACCAGCCTCCGGGCCGAGCTGTCCCCCGCAGGGCCTGGCACTGGCTGGGCCACGGCCGCCCGGACACTCCCCCAGATGGCCACGCGGCTCCCTCGCAGCTGCCTGCAGCCGGGCCGGGGCCAGTCCCCGCTGGACAGGACACTCTGCCACCCGCCACCCACCGCCTGGGCGAGGGTCAAGGCAGACGGGCGTGGGCGTGGGCGGTTGAGGGGCCGGGGCGTGGGGGTGGCACGTGGCCTGCCTGGGACTGCAGCCTCGCAGCTCTGGGGAGAACAATTCTCCCTCCTAGAGGCGGCCCCTGGGCGGGAGGGCGCAGCCTGGCTAGGAGCGTGGGTACAGGGGTGAGAGCGCCGAGGGGGCAGAGGGCCGGGCAGGGCGTGGAGGCCGGAGGCGAGGCCCCGGGCAGGGGGCCGGACCCTGACGGCGCAGGGTGGGGGCCGCCCGGGACCACAAGGAGTCCCTGCTCCCCTCTCCCCAGCCCAACTCTGTACGAGCCTCGGTTTCCCTCATCTGTGCCTGGAACAGCTGCTGCGGGAGCCCTGAGGCAGGGAACAGGGGCGGGGTGCTGCGGAGGGGTCCCCTGAGGCCGGGAGGTTGAGGTTGGCGCCGAGACAGCTGGGCCGGGGGCGGGGGGGCGGCTTCGGGAACACAGCCGGAGGGGCCATTTGCAGGGAGCCCCAGTCTTTCCAAGTGACAGGTGTGGCCCAGGAAGAGCCGCCTCCGTCCCAGAGGCTGAGTTCCGCGGGCCGCGGCGGGCCGCCCGGCACTGCACAAGCCCAGGCACCCGAGCCCCAAAGGGGCTTCCTGGGGGGCCTCAGGACGGGCCACGCAGTGTCCCTTTGTCCCCCTTCTGCTGGAAAGCTCAGTCACAACAACGCTGACCGCCCAGGCTCACTGGCCGCCGC